TGTTTCTGATTTATAGCATCCGCAGTTCTTTCAGTTTTTATTTCCAGTGTTCTACGCCAGTAAGTCATAATGTTTTGGAGTGTCAAATACCATTAATATTCAAACTCCTGCCATGGTTACTTCGCAACTGTCTCTCTGTAATGGCTGACATATCAAATTAATTGATTGATTGAATCATTTATTGTCACGTGTATTCAATCAATGTAAAAATACAGTGAAAAGTGTGTACCTTTGCTGTACATACATGGCGCCATTTACATCTGGCTATGTTATCGATACCTTAATACTTGTAGCATTGAGGGAAAGAGCTTTAAGTTTTTTCAAAAGTCATTTTTCCCTATTTTGGCAACATTTGCTGATGCTCTCTTACATTTGTGCACTCTGATCCTACTGCCACTCTCTGGTTATCATTACATATATCATTACTTGCATGTTTGCCTTGTTCTACTAAACTTTCCAAATCACTTCTCATTTGAACTCGGAATCATTTAGTTTAAATAGCTCTCTACTGTCTTAGTTACATGATTCATCAATATACTCATCCCAATAAACTTCAAATAAAGGGTGTCCCAACAATTTTCTCCCTCTTTCCTCAGTACTGATGCCAGTGTCCCATGTATCAAAACCCATTTCTCCCACACTAACCTTTGTGCCATCATTCATTGTTATTGACCCTATGCCAGTTTGCTCATTGCTCAAATAATGATCCAGAGGTTGGTATTTTTGTGGTTCTTTTTTTAATTTGGTCCCTAGATATGCATATTCCCTCGGCAGAACTTTTCTTTGTCCTATGTAATTGGCATCCATGTTGATGCCATCCATGGCATCCACAACAACTTCTCCCTCCTACACCGAGTTATTTTCTAGCCCTGAGATATCTATAGCGTGGCACCAGGCAGGCAATATAGTTTTCAGGATTCATGTTCTCAGCTGCAGAGAATAATGTTTATCCCCCTATGCTATCCATGACTACACCATTCCTTTGCAGGTTCTCCACCTGGGGGATTTCAAGACAAGGGGGCATATTTTTAACATGAGAGGAGAAAGGTTTAAAAAAGACATAAGGGGCTTTCATTTTTTTTTTTTTTTACAGAGTTGTTCATATGTGGAATGAACTTCCAGAGTAAGTGGTGAATGCGGGTACAGTTACAGCATTTAAAAGACATTTGGATAAGCACTAATAAGAAATGTTTGGAGGGATATGGAACAAGTGCAGGTATGTGGAACTGGGTTAGTTTGGGATCATGGTCGGCTTGGACTGGTTGGATCAAAAGGTCTGTTTTCATTCTATATGACTCTACATTCTCCTAAAGCACCGTGCTGTGGTCAGTTTGCTCATTCTGCCCACTCTCACTCATACATGTTGCAAGAACCTCAAATGCATCAGACAATTACAAGATTTTTCCAGTGCTTCCTCTCTTACAGCTGCACTCTTATCTCTAACAACAGGACAAATCTGAAGTATATAGACTAGTAAGTGTAACTACCTGATGAAACAAAGTTTGCGGGGGACCTTTCCTACCCTGATAAATTGCAACATCCAAAGCTCAGAGACTAACCCATCAACCTGGTGCTAAATTTTCTTGAACTGCATACTTGCAATGCAGATGTGGATGCCATGGATTACACAGGTATCCACCAAGCCCTATGTAGCTACAGCTGCTGTGCACCATCAAATCTGCCATCTGCAATTTGAGATTAGCAGATATCTGTTTTCTGCAGATTTCACTGATGACTGCAAAGTAGCACCCTGTGGAGAAGCAGCATATCATGAAAAGTAACATTAGGATTTGTTTAATTGCCAAATACAGAAGCCAGCAGTTGTCAGTTTCATCAGGTAATAATGTCAGCACTGCTATTTAGTACACCAAAATATTGGCCATTATTTAACAATTCACATCCACTGAATATACATTATCATGAATTACAAGTGACAAAAGACTATACCAAACATCCAACAGTGTACTACATTACCATGTTTTAGTTTATTCAAACACAGGATGTGACACCACTGGCTTGCCGAACACGTATCGCCATTCCTAGCTGCCCTTGAGAAGGTGGTGGTGAGCTGCTTTCTTGAACTGCTGCAGTCCTATGCTGTAGGTAGACCCACAACATCATTAGGTAGGGAATTCCAGGATTTTGACCCAGCAACACTGAAGGATCAGCAATATATTTTCAAATCAAGATATTGAGTGGCTTGAAGGGGAACTTGCAAATGTATCTGCTGCCCTTCTAAATGGAAGTGCTATCTGAGGAGTCCTGAAGAATTTCTGCAATGCATCTTGTAGATAGTACACACTGCTACTACTACTAAGGGCCACTGGTTGAAGGTGTAGATATTTGTGGATGTAGTGCCATCAAGCAGGCTGTTTTGTCCTGATGATGTTGAACTTCTTGAGTGTTGTTGGAGCTGCACTCATCCAGGCAAGTGGGGAGTATTCCATCACACTCCTTACTTGAGCCTCGTAAATGGTGGCCAGACTTTGGGAGTCAGGAGCTGAGTCATTTGCTGCAGCATTCCTAGCCTCTGACCTGTTCTTGCAGCCAGACTGGTCCAGTTCAGTTGCTGATCAATGGAAACCTTCCAGGATGTTGATTGTGGGAGATTCAGTGACAGTAAGACTATTGGATGCAAAGGGCCGATGGGCAGATTGTCTCTTAGTGGGTGATTGTCTGGCATTTGTGTTGCAAATGTTACTTGCCTCCTGTTAGCCCAAGCCTGGATATTATCCAAGTCTTGCTGCATTTGAACCTGGACTGCTTTAGTACATGAGGAGTTGTGAATGGCCCTGAACATTGTGCAAATCATTAATGAACATCCCCACTTCTAACCTTATGACAGAGGGAAGATCATTGATGAAGCAGCAGAATATGGTTTATGTGATACTTAAAATGTTTTATGTTCACTACTTCTTTCAATACATATTTTACCATTCATTTCACCTATTATTCTAAGCAATCTGTTCAAAGATGTTATTTACATTTCTGGAGCAGGTAAGACTTGACCTGGGCCTCTCAATCCAGGGATAGGGACACTACCACTGCACCTCAAGAGTAATCATTCTCTTCTGGGTGGTACAGTGATTAGCACTGCTGCCTCACAGCATCAGGGGCCCAGATTCGATTCCAGCCTTGGATGACTGTTTGCACATTCTCCGTGTCTGTGTGGGTTTCTGCTAGGTGCTCCAATTTCCTTCTACAGTACACAGATATGCAGGACAAGTAGACTGGTCATGCTATATTGCCCCATAATAAGACCATAAGATATAGGAGCAGAAATTAGGCCATTCGACCCATCGAGTCTGCTCCGCCATTCAATCATGGCTGATAAGTTGCTCAACCCCATTCTCCTGCTTTCTCCCCGTAACCCTTGATAATCAAGAACCTAGCTATCTCGGTCTTAATTGTACTCAATGACCTGGCCTCCACAGCCTTCTGTGGCAGTTAATTCCATAGATTCACCACTCTCTGGCTGAAGAAGTTTCTCCTTATCTCCTTCTAAAAGGTTTTCCTTTTACTCTAAGGCTGTGCCCTCGGGTTCTAGTCTCTCCCACCAATGGAAGCATCTTCCCAACATCCACTCTGTCTAGGCCACTCAGTATTCTGTAAGTTTCAATTAGATCCCCCCTCATCCTTTTAAACTCCAACAAGTATAGTCCCAGAGTCCTCAAATGTTCCTCATATGTTAAGCTTTTCATTCCTGGGATCTTCCTCATGAACCTCCTCTTAACTTGCTCCAAGGCCAGTACATGCTTCCTGACATAGGGGGCCCAAAACTGCACACAATACTCCAAATGTGGCCTGACCAGAGCCTTATAAAGCCTCAGTAGTACATTCCTGTTTTATATTCAAGTCCTCTCAAAATAAATGCCAACATTGCATTTGTCTTCCTGACTGCTAACTCAACCTGCAAGTTTACCTTCAGAGAATCCTGGACTAGAACTTCCAAGTCTCTTTGCACTTCAGACTTCTGAATTTTCTCCCCATTTAAAAAATAGTCCATGCTTTTGTTCTTCTTACCAAAGTGCATGACCTCTCACTTTCCCATGTTGTACTCCATCTGCCACTTCTTTGCCCACTCTCCTAACCTGTCCAAATCCTTCTGCAGCATCCCCACCTCCTCAATGCTACCTGTACCTCCACCTATCTTTGTATTATCTGCAAACTTAGCCAGAATGCCCACAGTTCCTTCATCTAGATCATTAATGTATAAAATGATATCAAGGGATATGCAAGCTTGGTCGGTGAGGCATGGTGAATGCAGGGATAAGGTAGGGGCTGGGGTTGGGTGGGTTGCTCCTCAGCAAGTCAATGTGCTAAACGGCCTCTTTCCACACTTTGTCTGATTCAATTTCCCCACCATTCGATTTTCCAAGATTTTCCCTACCATAAATATATGAAACCTCTCAGCTATGTTTCTTACACATGGAATATGGGAGGAAAACTTAATAATTATTAGAGATCAACTTCATGTCTAAAAAGATCAGAGTTAAGGTGAAAATGGACCCACAGGTCTGTGAAACTGGAAATGTCACCACAATCAATCATTCTTCTGAAAGTAACCCATTAACAAACTTCATTAGCAGTATTCCAAGCATGACTTTATTCAGCAATTTATTAAACTAAGATACTCAATTGTCTGGGTAATAAATAAATCTTCCTATTTTATGGTTCTTCGGTGTCAGATAAATAAACTTTTATGCTTTTAGCCTGGGGGTTAATAAACAAACTGTCCATTGTAGACTTTATATCACAGAACATCCTGGTTGTAAGCTACGACCAGCCAAGGAAGTCAACTTATCAATAGGATCACTAAATAACACCTCTGATAAGAAACAGCACTGATTTAATTAAGCAGGATTTGAAACAAAATTGCTTAGACAAAGCATTCAAGTTCTGGATACCATTGTGAATGCACTGTGGATAAATGTGTCCCCCTCCTCTCATGGAACAAGTCATTCTGGGCTCATGATTTTGTCAATGAGCACATAAAGCAATTTAATTCATAAGCAGATTTAATTATTCATTTTGTGAAATGACAATACAAAAAAAAAATCAGATGAACATTATGTTAGCGTAGGTACCTAGCTGAGGTGAATATTATGGTTTCTTATGTTTCAGTTTTAATTCAAAAATGAGAAATAAACTAGCAACATATACATTTTAAATAAGAGCAAAAACACAATTTTGTACACAAATATTCCAGTTCTGATAAATTGCAATTTATATAGCAATGTGATAACAAAATTACATATCGAACACTTGCATGCTGAAGTTTTAAGACTCTACATAGCCTCTCAAGGAATTAGGTCAGAGGAAATAGCATGAAATACATGCAAATTCTTAGCATATTTGTTTGTTGCCAACGTTAATCGTAACCACGTGCCACGCACATATGTATACAATAAAATTTATGTAATTTTCATACCTTTGAAGATTTTGTTTTGCAGATCTTTCTGCATCACTTGCAACTTCTGGCAGAGAAAACAAGCAGCTTGCAAACTTCTGCCATTCCATAACGAAGAATGGGGATGTGCAATAGGTCTCACCCTTTAAGTTGGTTCTGAAATTCTACAAAGGCAACTTTAACCTGCTATTTTAAATAAATATAAAGTGAGCAGTAATGGTGCATCTGATCGACGAAACAAAATGCAGATCAGGATAGGAGAGGGAATTAAAAGAAAAGTACAGCTGCCGATTCAGATGGTTCTTGCAGAAGACTGAAACCAGGATACCTTTCTGCTTAAAAATGCTATCATAGGAGTCGAGAAAAATAAGGGACAAATTGGAGGGTGATCATTTGGATTCTGGATTCTGTTTTATGTCAGTGAAGGACTTATAATATAGATAAGAAAAAGAGGCAATTTCCTTGATTATGTATGCCATCAGAGAGACTCATCACTGGCAACACTTGCTCTCATTTCAGCCAGTTCTGAAGTCACATTTAAAGGTCATTATTACATTTGTTCATGATATTACAAAGATTTATTCAATTCTATAATTACACTTATTCACAGAGTAACAATTGTAATGTTTAAATCTTGTATAAAAGCAAACTTGTTCTGCAAACTGAATCATAGATCATGGACAGATGCAAAAAGGAATTATAATAGTGAAATTCATTGAACTAAAGCTTTCCATTCCAGTTACTTGAATATTTTATGTAACAATTGCAGGTTCTTGAAAGACAACTTCTTTATTTACAGGAAATACCGAGCTGAGCTCTGAAATGAGAGAAAAATGAAAATTCTGAAAAAACAATTACATCTTACAATACATTTCTACATATTTTGAAAAATGACTTAAGTTAATTGATACAATTGGACAATTTTAGCAACCATGCTGTAGTCAAATGCATTTTCTTGACTCTTATCTAAAAGGAAGGCATATTAAAGGAGTTGATTGATTACTTTTGAAAAGTTACCCTATTGAGTAATCATGGGAAAAGCTGATAAAATTAATGAATAAATAATTACTCCAATCAGAACCAAAGCTGGTGGATTCTTAAGTGTTGTGACATGGACTGGAAGGATATTGGATTCTCATGATGAATTCTTTCACACTCCCAGATCCAACGCTCCACGAGTGAAAGTCAAGACAGAAAACCCAGAGGTTACAGAGAAAGAGAGAGGTAACATGTTGCAGTGCATCTCCCAGTATCTGGTTCTATAAACCACTGACAATGAGTGTAGCTCGTCTGTCTGCCTGCCTGCTCTTCACTCCAGGTTACAGTAGTTGACGTATGAGATAAACGTAAGGAACCGAGAGGTGGGGAGGAAAAAGTTTAATTTAGACAAATACACTTCTTTATGATTAATAATTGCAAGTTTAAACATGAAATTCAAGATTTTTATTCTTTGTTTGATTGTCAAATGATAGCAACAATTACGCACTTATGCTCTGCTCACTGCACAAAAGATCTAGTTTCAGCTTTTTAGGTCCAAATTAAATCTGTGTGTGCTTTGTGTTCCTTTAAAGCTACCTAAATTAGTGATTGAAAAAGAGTAAAAAGACACCATTATTAGAAGAACATATAGGCAGTAAACTTATGTTAATTTATATAAATGATTTGCATGTTAATACAGGAGGCATAGTTAGTAAGTTTGCTGATTACACCAAAATAGGTGCTGAAGTGGACTGTGAAGAAGATTATCTCAGAGTACGAAGGCACCTTGATCAGATGAGTCAATGGGCTAAGGAGTAGCAGATGGAATTTAGATAAACGTGAGGTCTTGCACTTTGGTAAGGCAAATCAGGACAGGACTTACACAGTTAATGGCAGGGCCCTGGGGTGTGTTGCCAAACAAAGAGACCCAGGGGTGCAGGTGCATAGTTGTTTGAAAGCGATGTCACATGTAGACAGCATCTTGAAGAAGCTGTCTGACACACCTGCACTCATTGGGACATCATGTTGTAGCTGTACAGATCACTGGTGAGGCCACTTTTAGAATACTGCAGACAATTCTGGTCACCGTGCTATAAGGAGGACGTTGTTAAACTTGAGAGGGTGCAGAAAAGATTTACGAGGATGTTGCTGGGACTGCAGGGTTTGCTAAATAGATTGGGGCTTTTCATCCCTGGAGCGTCAGAGACTGCAGGGAGACCTTATAGAAGTTTATAAAATCATAAGGGGCTTGGATAAGGTGAATAGCCAAGGTTTTATTGCTAGGGTGAGGGAGTCCAAGACTACAGGGCATAGATTTAAGGTGCAAGGGGAAAGATTTAAAAAGGACGTGAGGGTACTTTATCAAGCAGAGGATGGTGCATGTATGGAACGAGCTGACAGAAGAAGTGGTGGAGGCTAGTACAATTACAACATTTAAAAGGCATCTGGATGGGTATATGAATAGGAAGTGTTTAGAGAGATGTGGGCCAAATGCTGGCAAATGGGACTAGGTCAGATTAGAATGTCTAGTTGGCACAGATGAATTGGATCAAAGGGTCAGTTTCCGTGCTGCATCACTCTATGATTCTAAATCAGAGATTAGGATCAGAATTTTGGTAATATTTCTGAAAGATTCAAGCAAAATACTTACTTTATTGACTAATAGATCAATAAGTAAATTAGCTCACAAAAGGTATCTCTTCCACTGATATAAGTTGACATATCTGTTTTTAGATTTCAGAACATTTGAAAAAAAATATCCATACAGACTTTTTTCCTGACTCTCTTCCTGTCCAGGCACTGATCATTGTTAGGGTATAGTTCTAAATTAATTTTAATCAACACATTCAGTCATGTCACAACACACCTTTGGGGAAGGCGGCACTATCACTGTGCCACTATAGATAATCAGAAATAGCTAGGTTCTGGACAGTAATTGTACAATTTTGGAATTCTGTCCCCCAAGCTATTCAATTTTCCAGGGTCTCACAACAGGGTCCAGTCCTCTCTTCACACAACATACACAAACATACTTTGCAGAAATATGGAGCAAGAAGCCTAAATAAATTCACTGTTCTTACTAAGACCAATTACCCCGAAAACTATAACACTCCAACTGAGATCAATTAACAACACAACTTGGGAACAGCAGCTACTTGTTGATTTCTTAAGTATACTTACTACAATAGTTCCATGGTGTTAGGGGAAAGGTACTGGCATGGATAAAGGATTGACTTACTGACAGAAGGCAGAGTAGGAATAAAGAGGTCTTTTTCAGGAAGGCAGCCAATGACTAGTGGAGTTTTAAAGGGACCTGTGTTGGGACCACAACTATTCGTGTTATACATTAACGATCTGGACAGAGGAACTGAGAGCAGATAGTGCTGAGGAAGCAGCGAGATTGGAAAAGTACTTGGACAGGATGGGGGAGTGGGCAAAGTAATGGCAGATGGAATACGACGTGGGAAAGTGTGAGGCTTCGGCTATTTTCTACATGGGGGTAGGGCTTCAGAAATTTAAAGCGCAAAGAGACTTGGGGGACCTGGTTCAGGATTCTCTTAAGGCTAACATGCAAGTTTAACTGGCAGTTAGGAAGGCAAATGCAACGTTAGCATTCATTTCAAGAGGGCTAGATTACAAAAACAGAGATGTACTGCTGAACCTGTATAACACTTTGGTCAGTCTGCATTTGGAATATTGAGAGTAGTTTTGGACCTCATATCTAAGGAAAGATATGCTGGCGTTGAGGGAGTCTAGAAGCGGTTTATATGTATAATCCAGAGGCTGAAGGGCTTGTCATATGAGGAGCGGTTGAGGACCCTGGGTCTGTCCTCAATACAGTTTAGAAGGATGAGGGAGATCTCATTGAAAAAATTTACACAATACTGCCAGGCCTGGATAGAACAAACACAGAGATGATGTTTCCACTAGTAGGAGAGTCTAAGATCCGAGGGTACAGCCTCAGAGCAAAGGGACAACCCTTTAGAACTGAGGCCAGGAGAAATTTCTTCAGACGGTGGTGAATCTGTGAAACACATACCACAGAGCGCTTTGAGGTCAAGTCATGGAGTGTATTTAAGATAGAGATAGTTTGGTTGTGGATTGGTCAGGGGATCAAGGGTTACTGGGAGAAGGCAGGAGATTGGGGTTTCGAAACATATCGAATGGCAGAACAGACTCAATGCACCAAGTGGTTTAATTCTGCTCCTATATCGTATGGTTTTGTAATAGCTCCCCATAATAAGAGAAAAAAAGACTAGCCAAAAACAGTCAAAACTAGTATTAGAACTTACCTACAAATCATCCTAGTAGTGATACAAACATCACAACACCCATAAATTGAGTGAAAAGGATGAAAGGAGTAAAGAAAGACCACACTGGCCACAGTGCAATATTAAAGCTGTAAAAAGAAAGTTTATAGTCAGTAAATCTTTTAAAGATCACTCAGTGCTTCAGCATTTCAAATGTAATAAACCGGTCTTGCTCCAGTCCTTGAAATATCAGTATACGTACAGTTTGGTACATATTGACAGGTAGTGTTAATTGCAATGTTGTAGAAACGACTTGGTCAAATTCACACATATTTATATAACAACATGTATTTCTGAACTGCTGAGAACAGTCAATTTCCATTTGTGTATAAAGCAGTGATAAAAGAAACTGGCAATGAATGAACTACAAAAACTATTATACGATGAGGATTTTAAATGAAGTCTGCTCACTTTATGGTGCTTTAGAAATATTTTTGACTGTTTATTAATATAACCCAGTAACTGATGTATAGAATTACTGTATGCACAGAAAACAGATTTGAATTTTAATTATTGAGCCATGACATTAGCCAAGGCTTCACACTTAGACCCAAATAATATGATGGAAAAGCCAGTCCAGCAAATATTTCCTCAATCACAAGTGCACAAATAGAATTACAAAGAAACTTGCTATGGTTCATTACAAGGCCCATCATCAAAAAAAAAAGCAAATAAAATTAGTTTAAAATCACTTTATAGAAATATCTGAATAGTTTTCATACGAACCTAGGAATGTAAAACCATGGGTGATCATGCACTTTGATGCCTTTTTCCCCATACTATCCCCCATTCCTTTACATCAGTAGTATTTCGAAATCTGTCAATGTCTACTTTAAGCATATTCAATGGTTGAACTTACCTAGCCCTCAGGTGTAAAGCATTCCATACATATACAACCTTCTGAGTGAAGAGGTTTCTCTTCAACTCAGTACTAAGTGGCTTTCATCAAATCTTGAAATTGTGCACCCTGGTTCTAGATTCCCCACTTAGGGGAAAGACCTTAGCCGCATCTACTTTGTTTCGCTCTTCAAGTTTTCTGTAGGTTTCAATGAGATTGCCTAATTTTTCAAAACTCTCGAGAATACAGGCCCAGTTTTCCCTCATCTCTCTTCATAGGACAGTCCTACCACCCTTGGAACTAGTCAAGTGAACCTTCATTGCACTCCCTCAAGAACAATAATATCCTTCTTAAATATAAAATATGAATAAAATTCTTCCTAAAATAAGGAGAACAAAAGTACTCGGTATGCCAGGTGTGGTTTAACCAGGGCCTTAAACAATTGACAAAAGACTCTGCCACTGTTGCACTCAAATCCTCTTGTGATAAAGACTAACACAGTAAAATTAATTAACAAGTCATTAGGAAGGCTATTAATAAATGAATCAAGTAATTAATTTTCATTTCAAAATTGACTAAGGGCCAACTGTCAAAGATTCAAACTTCTGACAAAGTAATTATTTTTAAGGATGTAGGAACCTACATATTTGAGTTCCGTGGTTAAGAACGAACAAGCATTTTGAGAATTGCTAGTTAACAACAATGCTGATACTGCTCAGCATGATTTCTTTGCAAATGCCTTTTAATAGAAAATGGAAAGAATTGCTCACATACAATGAACTAAATTCTTATCAGGATCACATACTCACTATTGCAATGTACGAATGCAATCTGCTGACCAATGAACCGCATGGTACTCTGCCACATTTAGGCAGAGTTCACAGTGAACAGAGACTTAAATGAATTTTCTGATGTCAAACTGGCTGACAGTCAAAAGGCCTGACAGGTTCTCTTTGCTAGGATAAGATACAATTTTTTGTTTTACATTTAGCAATCAGATAAATATAACTAAAGTTTGAGATGTGGTTTTTCAGAGGCATATAAGTGGCATTCCCCGGAGACACTGTAAATGTTGGTACACGTTAATGAAATGGGCTCAAAGGAAACAGGGTATCATTTTTAAAAACTGCAGATATTAAAACTTGCATGTGTAGTAATAGAATGAGAAAGACTGTAAACTGAATTAACTACTTCTGAATGAAGACAAATGTAATAAAAAACCTTACCTATAAACGTTTGATTAATATTTCATGTCACTAAATTATTTTGGTTCAGAGTTGCATTTGGTTGGAGTACCACTGCAGAACTGAGACACAATGGTCTAACCAGATACTTCAATGCAGTAGAGGAATTGCTGCATTGCTTATGTCATTCATATGCAATAGTAAACGGAGGCTTCTTCAAGCAGAAGTAAAAGGTCATGTGCTAATACTTGATGAAAACAGACAATTCTTCCATTGACTGCTTCATATGCACAAGCCCCATAAACAGTGACGCTAAAATGGTTTAATTGGCCATTCATGTTTATGGGATCCTGCTGTAGACATATTCTTGCCTTCACAATCATGATGCTCTTTAAAATCAGCTCAGGAAAATGTGAGGTGATACATTATCCATTCATTCTTCATACAAACATATATGTGACATAATACAATTTTCAAGAAGATGCAAGAAGAGATAATTCGAGATATTGTGCACAGATCTTTGAAAGTGACAGAATAGGTAAATCAGTTAAAAAATCACTAAGTGCATACATGATTATAAAAAAAATTTTCTAATCAACACACTTCTGGAGCAGGGGGACCCTGAACCCAAGTTTCCTGGCTCAGAGGTAAGTCACATGATTGTAGATATTTTCTAACCAACCTGTTCAGAGATATTACTACACACCTCTGGAGCAGATGGAACTTGAACCTGGGCCTCATGGCTCAGAGGTAGGCACATTACCACTGTATCACAAGAGCTCCTCATTCATGATTTCTATGCAGGCAGGAGGTTGTGCACAACAAGATCCCACTAAGAGCAAATTGGATGAATAGCTAATCGATCTTTTTTCATGTTACTGCTTGGTGGGTGTAGAGCACAGGACAATGGGAAAAGTCACAGTCTTCATCAAATACTGGTATGGGCTCTTTTATTTCTTCCCGCACAAGGCTCAGTTTACTACTACTTCTGAATGACATCGACAGTGCAGCACTTCCTCATTGAAGTATCTGCCAAAATCAACTGTTTCAGTTCGGCAGAGAAGCTTCAACAAATCATGAAAGCAATTATCATCTCCAGCTAAAATGACACTTAAAGCCAGAGAATATTAAATAAGCAGCATACTTTGGCTATTATTGCTGTTTGAAAGCAAACATAGTCATTAATCCAATTATATCACTGATCAAGAATAAAGCATCTAAATTCCATTGCATTATTTCCCAACATAGATTTGAATAGCAGTTTCAGATTTACATTTAGTGCCAACAGATTGGAATAACTTTGTCTAGTTATCCTGAAGTTTATTGCAAGGAGAAACAAGTTAAAAATCAACAAACTGATATTCGCCAATGACTTCAAGAACATACCATACTGCTGCAGCAATGAAAGATGCTGTAGCTGAAGGAACCAGGGTAGGATTATATTGCTCATATTCTCTGATCCCTCTGTACCACTCCAGGTAGAAGATGCAGTAGAAAGCAATCAGTAAGCTAATTATGAGTAGTGAGGTGCCTAAAAGGAACCACCGACTGATTTAGAGAAAGAAAAATGGATTAGTGACAAGAAGCAGACGTGAGTAAATACATTTTAAATAAAAACAGAAAATGCTACAGAAAACTCAGCAGATCTGGCAACGTCTGTCGTGAGACAAACAGAATTAAATTTAGAGTGCAATGACTCTGCTTCAGAACTGAAGCAAGCTGGAATATGATAGGTTTTACTCTCTTTCCAAGGGGGAGGAGGAACAAGTGGAACAGATGAGGTGAGAAGTTGTGGAAGGGAGGTGTTCGGGGGAATGAGGTCAAACACTAGTGTGATGTTTAGTGGTGGGGTCATGGTCCAGAGGAGTAATTTTTAATTTCAGTATTGTTGGAGAGACATAACCTGAAAAAGGACACATAAACCCCTGGCTAGTCACACCACATAACGAATATTTATTTCACAAGTGGGATACTAAATCTAGAATTTCTATACAAAATCACCTCCCTCGTCTCATCTTCACTTCACTCAGAACCAGAGTAATTTTTCACAAATTACTGCTAGTTAAGAGTGTAAATGCTATGTTTAGTCTCATCAACAAGCAGCAACTAGACTTACTACCTTACATGAAAAGTCTTCTATTCCTGCAGTACGTCACTCCTATAAAGTGATTTTTTTCTTTAAAATGTCACACAACTGGAACTTTTTTTTTTAAAAATAGCTGCAATACTACTACTGATGGCAAAAACCACAACATGCCCTCTCTAGATTTATTTGGCTGCCTTTTTTCTTCAGTAACTCAAATGCCCAAGAGGAAAACCAAAGAAATTACATTGCACAGTGATAATTACATTTTCCATTAAATTTATTTTTCTTTCCTTATTAATTCTAAGGTTATACATGAAGTCAACCACTGGTTTTAAGAGCCTGAGCTTCAAATGAATATTATTCTCCACAATAGTCACTGTGCATTCTCAGCATATGCTGTTATAGAATTTTCTAGGCTACAATCTTTGCATCCACCAATTTTGAAAGATTAGAGATTACTATTTTCCAAAAACTTTGAAAATCATTTGAATTTTCAACATTTTTATTGTGGAAATGATCAAGTCACATAAAAGCTTTAAGATCATGCTGCATAAACACATATGTGGTGGAGACCTGCTGTGAAGAAGGGATTGACGTGGAGCTTGCTCAACTAAATACTGTCAGATTGTAGTAACCCCTCACCCTGGCACCATCATCAGAACTCCACATTGTTGATGGCAAAAAGACAAAAATACAACAATATCCCATTTTGAAAGCTCAAAATATACAAGTCAGAGAAATATATTCAGAGTATTTACCCTTCTATTCGGTAGTCAGTTTTAATTGTGGAAAAAAATTCAACATAATAGGTCACTGCCATTGATGCTAAAATCCAGAACACAGAGTGCATATTAAATCGAGGAAGTGGTTTTTCCTTCTTCTTTTCCTCATCTTGTAAATCTGCTCATAAAGAAACAATATTGTTAAAACAATCTGAAACTGGCAGACAGCATTCACTTTGCATATTGTATAAAAGATATGCCAGCAGTTTAAACTCAGCAAAATCTGATGAAGTCTAATGCAGCCTCTCTGTATCAGGAGGTTGTCCTTCTGGCTGCCTGGTGGCACTAGTCTATCTGTTGTTTCTCCTGTCCTTGTTTCCTGGATTTGATGAATAATGGCAGACATTTTACAAAATAATTCATGACTCACAGCAAAGAATATCCTAGTGACTGAAGGAAGATTCTATGGTTCACAGGGAAGTTCAGAAAAATGTCAAACTTAAAAAGAACATGCAAAAATTAGTGGTAAATCAAAGGACTGAGAAGGATTTAAAAGCCAACAAAAGATGACGAAGAAAGCAATGAGGGAGAAAATAAACTAGTAAAAATGGACACCAAGAGTAATTTAAATATATTAAAAAGGAAGAGAGAGGCAACAGTGAAATACTGGGCACTTAGAGAACAAGGCTGGGAAATAATAATGGGAAGCCAGGATAGCAGAATTGAACAGATACTTTGCATCAGTCTGTACCGCCAAGGATACTCATACATTCCAAAGTGACGAAATGATGGAGGGGCTAAAAGGGTGGAGGGGTGGGTGGGGGTGTTTTTAGCTGTAGGGAGGAGGACGAAATAAACACAGAACTATTACAAGAGAAAAATAACTATGGAAATTAATGGGGATAAAGGCCAATATGTCCCTTGAACCTGGCAGGTTACATCCTAGGATTTTGAAAATAGTCAATCTTCCAAGAGTCCTTAGGTTCTGGACAAATCCCAGAGCATTGGAAAACTGCCAATGTAATACCCATATTCAAAAAGGGAAGGTAACAAAATACAGGTAACAATAGGCCAGTTAACATCTGTTGTTGGGAGAATGTTATAGAGTCTTTACAAAGGATGTAAAGCAGAGCATTTAGAAACCTATGTTATAATCATGCAAAGTCAGCTTGGCTTCATGAAAGGGAAATCATGCCTGAGAAAGTTATTACAGTTGTTTCAAGAGATAGCAATCAATGTAGATAAAGGGAAACCAATAAATATAACATATTTAGATTTCCAAAAGCATTCCATAAGGTAGGGCACTTAAGAGTCATAGAAATATACACCAAAGAAACAGACTCTTCAGACCACCTTGTCCATGCCAATCAGATATCCTGAATAAATCTAGTCCCATTTGTCAACATTTGGCCCATATCCTTCTTAAACCCTTCCTATTCATTTACCCATTCAAATGCCTTTTAAATGTTGTAATTGTACCAGCCTCCACCACTTCCTCTGGCAGTTCATTCCATACACGCACCAACCTCTGCATGAAAAAGTTGTCCCTTAGATCCCTTTTATATCCTTCCTCTCTCACGTTAAACCTACGCCCTCTAGTTTTGGACTCCCCCATCCCAGGGAAAAGACCTTGTCTTTTTACCATATCCATGCCCCTCATGATTTTATAAACCTCTATAAGGTCACCCCTCAGCTTTTGACGCTCCAGGGAAAATAGCCCCAGTCTATTCAGCCTCTCCCTGTAGCTCAAAACTTCCAACTGTGGCAACATCCTTGTAGATCTTTTCTGAACCCTTTTCAAGTTTCACAACATTCTTCCAATAGCAGGGAGACCAGAATTGCATGCAGTATTCCAATAGTGGCCTAACCAATGTCCTGTATAGCACAATATGACCTCCCAACCCCTGTACTCAATGCACTGTCTAACAAAGGCAAGCATACCAAACACCTTCTTCACCATCCTTTCTACCTGTGGCTCCACTTTCATAGAACTATGAACCTGCACTACAAATGTTGTTCAGCAACACTCCCCAGCACCTTACCATTAAGTGTATAAGTCCTGCTCTCATTTATCTTTCCAAAACGCAACACATCACATTTATCTAAATTAAACTCCATCTGCCACTCCTCAGCCCATTAGCCCATCTGATCAACATATCATAGGACCCCCACAGTGTGGAAACAGGCCATTCAGCCCAATGGGTCCAAGCCTCTGAACAGTATCCCACCCAGACCCACCCCCCTGCCCTATCCCTGCGTTTCCCACGGCTAACCCACCTTCACCTGCACATCCCTGAACACTAGGGGCAATTTAGCATGCCAATCCACCCAACCTGCACATCTTTGGACTGCAGGAGGAAACCGGACCACCCAGAGAAAACCCATGCAGACACAGGGAGAACGTGCAAACTCCACATAGTCAGTCGCCCAAGCGTGGAATCGAACCAGAGTCCCTGGTGCTGTGAGGCAGCAGTGCTAATCACTGAGCCACCATGCCGCCCAACATCTTGTTGTACTCTGAGATAACCTTCTTTGTTATCCACTACACCTCCAATTTTGGTATCATCTGCAAACTTACTAACCATACCTCCTATGATCACATCCAAATCATTTGTACAAATGATGAAAAGCAGTGGACCCAGCACCGATCCTTGTGGCACACTGCTGGTCACAGGTCTCCAGTCTGAAAAGCAACCCTCCAACACCACTCTGTATCCAAGGCAGTTCTGTATCCAAATGGTTAGTTCTCCCTCTATTCCATGTGATCTAACCTTGCTAACCAGTCGACCATGAGGAACCTTGTCGAACGCCTTACTGAAGTCCATATCGATCACATGCACTGCTCTGCCCTCATCAATCCTCTTCGTTACTTCTTCAAAAAACTCAATCAAGTTTATGAGACATGATTTCCCACACACAAAGCCATGTTGACTATCCCTAATCAGTCCTTGCCTTTCCAAATACATGTACGCCCTGCCAGTCAGGATTCCCTCCAACAACTTGCCCACCAATGATGTCAGGCTCACCAGTCTATAGTTCCCTGGCTTTTCCTTACCACCTTTCTTATATAGTGGCACCGCGTTAGCCAACCTCCAGTCTTCTGGCACCTCACCTGTAGCTATCGATGATACAAATATCTCAGCAAGGGGCCCAGCGATTACTTCCCTAGCTTCCCATAGAGTTCTAGGGCACAACTGATCAGGTCCCGGGGATTTATCCACCTTTATGCGTTTTAAGACATTCAGCACCTCCTCCTCTGTAATATGGACATTTTTCAAGTTGTCACTATTCATTTCCCCACGTTCTCTATCTTCCATATCCTTCTCCACAGTAAACCCTGATGCAAAATATTTATTTAGTATCTCCCCCACCTCCTACGGTTCCACACATTGGTGGCCTTCCTGATCTTTAAGGGCCCCATTCTCTCACTAGTTACAAATACATTAAGGACAAGAGGATAAAATCCCTTTGAATTCTCCATAACCATATTTGCCAAAACTACCTCATGTCCCCTTTTTGCCCTACTGATTTCCCTCTTAAGTGTACTCCTGCTGCTTTTATACTCTTGCAGAGAATCACTTGATTTCTGCTTCCTTCTTAATCTTAACCAAAACCTCAATTTCTCAAGACTACTAAATAAGATTGCCGACCTTTGTGGTGGGGGTAATGAGTGAGGGTGGATTGATTAATTAATCAAAGACAGAGGGTTGAGATAAAAGGGAGCATTCCAGGGTCGCGGTATGTGATTAGTGGATTGCCACAAGGATCAGTGCTGGCGCCACAATAATTTACAATTAATGACTTGGGTGGCAGGAGGGAATGTCCTATCACCAAGTTTGGGAAATGACGAAAATAGGGAGGATGGCAGTCTTGGGGAGGACGGCAGTCTTGGGGAGGACATAAAGAGTTTTCAGAGGGATACAGACAGGCCACGTGAGTGAACAAAAACTTGGGAGATGAAAAATAATGTCGGAAAATGTAAAGTTGTGCATTTTGGCAGGAAGGATAGAAGATTGGAATACACAGCAGAAAACTGCAGCACAAAAGAATTTGGCAGTTCAGATGCATAAACCACCAAAAACTAGCATCTAAGTTCAGTGGGTAATTGGGAAGACCTAAGGAATATCAGAAGTTGCTGTAAAAGCTCAGCAGGTCTGGCAGCATCTGAGAAGAGAAAACAGTTAACGTTTCGGGTCTGATGACCCTCCCTCAGAACAGAGGAACATTAGCCTCTATTTCAAAAGGGAAGAGTACAAAATGGCGGTCTTGCTAAAATTGTACAAGTCAGACCACAGCTGGGATACTGTGAACAGTTCTAGTCCTCTTAGCTAAGGAAAGACATACTGGAATTGGAGGCAATCTAAAGAAGGTTCATTAGGATGTTTCCAGATATGGAGAGATTTTCTTATGAAGAGAGGTCGAGTAGGTTGGGTTTGTACTCATTAGAGTTCAAGAGAATGAGAGGCGATCTTACTGAAACGTACGATATTCTTAGGGGACACAGCAGGGTAGATGCAGAGAGGTTGTTTCCACTTGTGGGAGAGTCTAGGATCACAAAGCATAATCTCAAGTGTAGTCACCCATTTACATGCTGGTAATCAACATATAAAGAACATATCTTCTGTGGCCAACAAATCATGTCGTAGGAGTCTACGACCCAGGACTTAGTCTGGAATGGCCCAGGAGTGGACCTGGAACTGCAGCACCAGAAAATCTCCGAACAGAATTAGGAAATGATTCGAACGATTGTGGAGAGTGGGCAGGAAAGAGGAGTTGAGGCTGAGATGAGATCAAATATGCTCATATCAAATGATACAGCATGCTCCCGTGGTTGAATTGCCTCATCCTGCTCCTATTTCTTATCTTCTTAGTATAAAAAAGAAATCTTGGAAACTCATTTGTAATAATACAGCACAGTCATTATTTCTAGAGTTATAAGAATAAATTTAAAATGCTGTACAATTAAGTAAATAAAAGCCTGACTCTGCTCCCAAAACCAGTCATTGATCCAGAAAGGCCCTGGAAAGCAAAGGCAACTCCTGTTTTCGTCACTGTACCACCAAAACCCCTCATCTTCAAAATCTGCAAGATGCCCATGGTCGCAAAAATTGAGAATGTTCATCCGTTACCTTTCCCCTTTCTCACCTAGCTAAACCTCTCAAGCTCTTCCTGCAACAGCCTTAAACCTGCATTTTCCCTCCTTTCTCTCCCATTTCTGTGGAACTTTCTTGGCTTAGTTTCACTCATACCAATCAAGAATATCTCTAAGAGGGGTCTTTCATTAAATTCTCAGGGTTCCAGGAATAGTGGGGAGGGGCAGTGGAACAGATCATGCAGGAAGGGGGTCAGGAAATAGAGGATGGCATCAGAAATATTGGGTGATGAGGTGGAAACGAGGAGGGGGAGGTGGTGGGGAAAATGCCAGAATTGGAGAAGGGGTGGTTAAGGAGTATTTATATGGCTAGTCCAGTTTAGTTTCTGATAAGTGGTAACCCCAAGATGTTGACAGTGAAGGCATTCAGTGGGGCAATGGTTAGATTGTCTCACATTGAAGATGATCTTTGCCTGGCATTTGTGTGGCATGAATGTGACTTGTCACTTTTCAGCCCAAGCCTAGATATTGTCCAGGTCTTGCTGCATTTGGACATTGACTGCTTCAGTATCCAAGGAGTTGCAGGTCAGAGGCTGGGAATCCTGTAATAAAGCCTTTGAATTAAAGTGAGTAGCTCACCTCCTCACCCTCCAAAGCACGAATACTCCCATTTAGTTGGATAATCTGATCAAGTGTATCCCAGGACAGTGTGGGAAGTTAGGGAAGAAATTGCAGGGCCCCTAGCTACTTGTATCATCTACAGCCATGGCTGAGGTTCCAGAGGACTGGACAGTGGCTAACTTAAAAGGGCTGTACAGACCTGGGAACTACAGACCTGAGAGTCTGATATCAGTGGTGGCTAAGTTGCTGGGAGGGGTTCTGAGAGATAGGATTTACATGCATTTGGAGAGGCAAGAACTGCTTAGGGATAGTCAGCATGGCTTCGTGTGTGTGAAATCACACAAATTTGATTGAGTTGTTTTGAGGACATAACCAAAAAGACTGTTGAGGACAGAGCAATAGACATTGTCTACAGGGATTTTAGTAAAGCCTTTCACAAGGTTCCGCATGGTAGACTAATCAGTAAAATTAGATCACATGATTCAGGGAAAGCTTGCAAATTGGATATAAAATTGACTTGCCAGTAGGAGACAGAAGGTGGTTATATAAGGTTGTTTTTCAGACTGGACACCTGTGATTAGCAGTGTTCCACAGGGATCGGTGCTGGGTCCACTTTTGTTGTAATTTATATAAAACGATTTGGATGAGAATTTAGGAAGCATGGTTAGTAAGTTTGTGGATAACACCAAAATTGGTGATATAGTCGACAGTGAAGATTATCTAAGATTACGAAGGGATCTTGATCAACTGGGCCAACAGGCTGAGAAGTGACAGAGTTTAATTTGGATAAATGCAAGGTATTGCATTATGGTAAAACAAACAAGGGCATGACTTATTTGGTTAATGGTAGTGTTATCGAAAAGGGAGACCTAGGGTTCAGGTACATAGTTCTTTGAAAGTTGAATTACAGTATTTGGGGTGGTTAAGAAGACATTTAATATGGTTGCCTTCATTGCTCAGACCATTGAATATAGGAGTTGGGACATCATGTTGAGGTTGTACAGAATGTTGGTGAGGCCACTTTTGGAGAACTGTGGTCAGTGCTGGTCACCCTGCTACAAGAAGGTTATTATTAAATGGGAGGGGTTCAGAAAAGATTCACCAGAATGTTGCCGGGACTGGAACTTAGAGTCATAAGGATAGGCTGGGACTTTTTTCACTGGAGCGTAGGAGGATTATAAAATCATGAGGGGTGTAGATAAGGTGAAGTGCAAAGGTCTTTTTTCCGAGGGTGAGGGAATTCAAATCTAGGGGGCATATTTTTAAGGTGAGAGGGGAAGGATTTAAAAGGGACCTGAGGGGCAACTTTTTCACAGAGAGGATGGTTCATATGTGAAATGAACTGTCAGAGGAAGTAGCAGATGAAGGTGCAGTTATAGCATTTAAAAGGCATTTGGACAGGTACATGAATAGAAAGGTTTAGAGGGATATGGGCCAAGTGGGACTAGTTTAGTTTAGGAAACTTGGTTGGCATGGACGTGTTGGACTGAAGGGTCTGTTTCCACACTGTATGACTTTGACTCTGAGTAGAGCTCCAGTAACACTCGAGAAGCTTGGCATCATCCACGTCAAAGTAGTGACTTAATTGGAACCACATCAACAAAACATCCTCTCTCCACCATCACCACTCTGTAGTAGCTGTGTTTACCATCTACAAGGTGTACTGCAAAACTCTCCAAACTGTTCGGACAGCACCTTCCAAATCCACGACCACTTCCATCTAGAAGAACAAGGTCAGTAGATACATGGGATGACCACCAACTGCAGGTTCACCTCCAGGACATTCACCATCTTGACTTGGAAATGTATTACCGTCCCTTCACTGTTGCTGGGTCAGAACTCTGGAATTCCCTACTGGCATTGTGGGTCAACCCACAATAGGTGAACTGCAGAAGTTGAAGAAGACCGCTCACCGCCACCTCCTGAAGGGTGGCCAGGGACACACAATAAATGCTGAACATCCTATGAGTGAATTTAAAACAAGTGGCGGGGAGGAGGTGTAAGTGATGGCTGGTGGGATGATGGGCAGTGGGTTACATACGGGGTGAGTAAAGGAGGGTTGGTGTTTGCACTCGGCCCTCACCTCGTGCTCCCGGCCACACGGAGTCCCCGGGAATCGCGGTCGGTGCCGCCGCTCGGAACTGGTTCCGGAACCGAATCAGCTGCTCAGACTCAGCCGCCATTTGCAGCGGGGCCAGCTACGTCAACACGCAAATACGCGCTGACATCAGCGAGCAGGAACAAGAGCCTCCTGTCGGTTCTTACTATCCTTATAGAATAGGGTGGTCCAATGGTAATATCCCTAACCAGGGAGACCTGGGTTCACATACAACCCTGTCCCTAGTGTGGTTCAAATCTTACTACCGCCAGCAATACAATGCTGGTAAAAATTATGTCAATCTCTATCGTCCTACGAGTTTGCATAATGCAGATCTTTGATTATAAATAGCAGCCAAACCACTCGAGACGTACAACCCAGCCTATCTCAGGAGTGTAATATCTATAAGCAGAAAGCGTGAAATGTCTCGATATGGTGATGAAAGGGGCTCTGGTGGTGCAGTTGGAGTGGCTTTACCTCTGAGCTAGGAGATTTAGGTTGAAGTAACCACCTGCTGCAGAGGTGCACAATATACTGGGCATAGGCCAGTCTGCCTCAGAGATAATGCACTGCAGACATAGCCTGACCTGGCTCAGATTCAATATACCTCAGGTGTAATATCCACTGTCTAGTTTATGTATAGTTCCAAGTCAGGATGATATGTGGTTTTGCTTGGGAATTTGCAGTTGGTGGTGTTCCTCTGTATCTGATTTGTTCGTGTTCATGTTCTTGGTGGCAGAGCCTTGGTGAATTACTTGTAGATGGAAAATACTGTTGGAAAGAATGAATGTTCAAGGTGGAGGATGGGCTGCCAATCAATAATCAATTAACAAGCTGTTGAGCTTGTTTAAGAGCCAAATTCATACAATCTTTTGTTGCTTGGTCCATTTCTTTAGGGCGTTGCCCAGGAAAAAGTTTGGGTGTGCCTTATGGTGGTTATGAGGATGTAGCACAAGAGTGGAAGAAAAAAGACTGCCACCAGGATCATGGCTGCATGTAACAACAGAATCTGCTCGTGAAGCTGACACACTTTCAATGTTTTTATTTATTTATTCCATGTTTTGGGTTGGATATAAGAAATAAGGAATGGTTGAGAGCACAGGGGTCTTCAAAATTCATAGCCATGACTGACCTCCTGTTCATGGCAAGACCCCTCTCCTGTGTGATGTCCCAGCTGAGGCATCTAATTGGGCATGTGGCCTCTTCTCACACCATTCGTTAGCCACTATGTCACTAGGAGCCACTAACTGGTTCATCCAATGTTTGGTTCACCATGCCATGATGGTGGGAGCAGGAGCGAGTGGACAACCCATTTTGAGTTCTGTATCGCTCACTCTGCCAATAAAGCTAAAGTCCAGCCTCTGTGGGTAGGCTACTCTCCCTCTGAGAGATGTAGTTCTGTCCTCAAGATCATCTTCTAGCCAATTCGAAAGTCATTAGCTGTTTGGTTCCAGTGCATCTGCATGACCAATGGCCATTGCTGGTTCAGCAACCGGCAAAGACCAAGCCTGTGATTGAAACTCTGGGACAGAGGGATTCTTCAGTAAGTGTGGGCCACAGGACACTTAATTAGGATGTAACTCCCCAAGCCTGCAGAGGCTACTAGAATTTGCCACCATTGGCAGGCTCACAGTGTGGCAAATTGCTCACCCACTACTGTAAGAAAACCAGTGGTGGTGGGAAGGACGTTTAACTAGCCATGTAAGGGCCTCAGTCGTCTAGGGTCAAAAAGGCCATTTTCAATCTTCCACTGATGAGAAAATGTTGCCAATGATGGCAGGTGGGCAACAGGTATGACCATTATTGGCATCACATGTGATTTAGTGCTCCTCTCTGCCTCCCTGCATGCCCCCCATACTCCTTTATGTCCCAGACCACTACTGCAATTCAGATCCTGGGGAATACATGACCAACACCAAGGGAATCTGCAGGATTTTTTTTAAAAATCTCATTTTGAGGAAATTAGCAAAAAAGGCAACACAAAAATAATGCTTTCTTTGGTAATATGGTTAGATCAAATGGTTATTTTTCATGTAACATATTTATTTTGAATTATCAAACAACAATTATCAAATTATTCTATCGGTGTGTTTCCAAAAGATCATTGTCTGATTTACTAATTACTGTAATCTTTATTTTTTTTCAGCGATCTTTCATGATCTTTCATCATGGGCTCAATTGTTGTCTGTTGGGAAGATGAAGCAATGTGACAAACTCAAAGAGCCACTGTTTAGAAAATAATCCCATTTTTCCTGCCCATGAAATTGCACATCTCATCAGTGTGTGTAATTTGTTATCATCTTGTGCCTAGGTTTGTTTTCAGGGAAAGGATGAGCCATTTTGAATGAAATGTGAGATGGATAATCCACACCAAAATTGAAATTGCTGCAATGTGAACCTGGATTATTGTCCTTGCTAATTTACAAAGCTGTGCACGTGATATCGTCAGTTCACATCAACCCTTTGTGATAAATCATTAACCATGACTAATACCAAAGCCCTAATGGAAACTTCAATTATGTGACTGAGCAGTTGAAATGAAGATATGTGAAGCAAAAATTATAGAACTTAGATGGAGATATCATGAATAAACTAATGTTAAATCAGTATTTTCAACAAACCAAAAGTGACAGAGGTCCACAAAGTAATTCAGAAGAAAACACAACAAAAAGTTAACAATAGCTCAAGAAATTCACATTTCAAATTAGTTGCACAGAATTTGAATTGGCCTTTTAACAATATTTTATTTATTTACTTTTATTTCAATCCCTTCAGTCACACTTTGGGTTTCTGAGTTTCTTTTACCATCTCTATGTTTTCACTCCATTTTGTATCCATTGTTTCCCAAGCCCCTATAAACTGTTTTGTGATATGTTTCATTAGATCTATTACATGAGACTATATAAATGTAAGTAGCTTTAATTAGAATATTCTTATCACAATAATAAATGTGAAATGTGTCTTTCGTACATGAGTGGGGAAAGAATCATAAGCACAAAGATTTTAGTGAATTAAATTAATTTAAAACATTGAAATGATCAAATCATTAAAGCACCGCAGGTTAATTAAATCAGTGTGGGTGTTAAATCAATAATGCAGTTCCTTTGGTTCCAGAAGCTTTCCAAACCAGATGGAGTAATAATGTTATCAACACTCAGTTTTGAAACAAACATAAACAGCAAACATAAATAATAACTAAAATAATCAGCGTTCTATACAGATATCTGCTTCTTATTATTGATTACCAATATCTAAAATATTTCAAAAGTCTTATACTTACCTGCTCGTCTTGTCTGTGTGATATGTTTCTTGTTCTTAAATTTTTCCACATTTTACATTATTTTTTGTTATAAATAATGTTCACATAGGTAGTGCAAAATTATTTTGTCACTGTGCTTAATCTGGCTCTGAATTCAAGAAGGCTTTCTAAACAATTGTTTCCATCAGCTATTTATGTTCAGTAACTAAAATGTTTGGTGCCTAAAATGGGCATTTTGCTAAAAATAAAAACCTGATTCACTGTAACATGATGACAGTTCATCACCCAGTTCTTTTCCCTTTCAATTCCTTTAGTCTTGCTAAAATCAGTCACTGTGAGCTGAATTTGGATTGTGCTGCCTTATCATGTGTATGTTTGTTATTTTCTATGCTGTTTCAGTATTGTTAAAATATCTAGATTGAGAAATAGCTTTATTTCTTTACTACAATAATTACTACAATAATTTTGCTTTTTGTTCTGTGACATCTTTGGTATTGAAACTCCTGTCCTCTAGCCTCTCTGTGCCCTTCATTTTTCCTACCTGAGCCTGCATCTTTCCAAACAGTGCGAAACTCATCACATTTCTGCTTTTCTTCAGTTTCAAAGAAACAATTTTGGACTTGAAATGTTAGTTCTGATTCCCTCTCCACAGATGCTGCCAGAACAATTGAGCTTTTCCATAACTTGCTCTGTTCATTTGAGGAATATCTTGCTTCATCTTCTAGCTCTTCTGAAAAACTCTTTTCAGAAATTCATACCAGCTCTTTTTCATAAACAAGACTATATGAGAACATTTTAAGTCTGGCCATCCAACAACAACGATGTGGTAATTTTTAAAAAATGAATGCACCACACTGCCAAAGGCCTATTCGGAGGCGGCCCAGGCACTTGCTTCATCAGACAGAAGCCTTATTCTCAAATGCAGTTCAGGATTCTACAACGTATATATTTTTCCCGGAGCTGTGATGCTCTGTGCAGACTGATCAAGGATGGTTGTGGTACAAGAAGGCATAGATAATAGAATGGTGAATGGGTGAAGACGATGATTGAAGACAAGGTGTGAGAGCAACAAAACGAAGAGGGGACAGCGTGAAAATTGAATTGCTGAGGGCAACAACTTCCCAACAGGTTTTAACATAATACATAGTGATTGAGAATACTAACCACTTTTGTTACATATATGTCATTATATCATAATAAAGATCAACGTCAGGACTAATAACTATCCCATATTTGTTAAGTTTACACAGACATCAGTTTGAAAAGGTACTTATTTCCATATTATGATCCAATTTTCACTCCATGGATAGATATTTTAAATTGCTCTCGCACTTTACGTGTTTTTTATTCCTGTAGTACTGCATGTATTTTGTGATGTGCTAAGACACCTGCTAATTTGGAACACAGTAATTATACAATTTTGCCGAAAAGAAAATACATAGTGTCAACTCTAATAATATTACATCCATAGTATAGTCCAACAAAATTAATTACATTTTCAATATTGTAAAAAACAATTCTGGCCGAGTCTATCTTACTTTTGTTACTGATATAAGATTTACTGGATCTTCAGAATAGACAGTTTAAAAATAATCTCATTCAAATTCTAATTCAATACTTTAGGAATATAACGATAATAGGAGATTTCACACTGATGTTAAAATGATGCCCTCTTGTTCTTGATTCCTCCTGCAGAGCTAATAGTTTGTTTGAGCTGTGCCTTGTATTTTTTTTGACTTGAGTGCAACTTGCAAGTCTTTTGGAGAGGTTTTTTTGCCATGAGGCTGAGCAGGTTTCCTCTCCATATTTTACCCAACTCACTTCAGTAACTAACTAACTCAAACTTTGTTGTTCTTGATGTCTGATTCCATCCCCACCTTAG